CTATTACAATTTGGCAAGCTCCAAACTTTCTCAGAGCTGTATCCATGTTCAGGAGATCGACATGGTGCAGTAAAGTCAGCTTTGAAAATTTTTGTCAGTACTACTTTTACTTGTGGCACATAAAAAGGGGGGGGGGGAGGGAGAGAGTAAAAAGAAAGCGCTCGTTTTATGCCACAACTGTAATTATGCTTGCTGAAACTAAAAAAATTTCTCACGGCAGGTGATTAGCGAGAGAACACAGCCCTATCGTAACATTCTCCTACAATTACAGAAGTGTCGAAGAACACCTTTTGTCTCTACAATACAAGCTGAAAGGGATCCCTTACATGGGCTCGTTTCGGTCGAGCCAGGAGTAGGAAGACGGGTGGCCGGACCAGACGGATGGCACCGTGGTCGAGATAGCCATGGCGGAAGCGGCGGGGCCCACTTCCACGTGCGCCGTGCTCGGCTCGGACTGTAAGAACGGCGCTAGCTTAGAACCGAACAGTCGGCAGGCGCGCTGTGTTGCCACAAGCACCAAACGACACCCCATGTGCAGTATGTCTTTTTTGCACATACAGGAGAAATTTCCACAAATTTTTATTTCATCTGGGGCCACTTTGCTTCTAAGTCAACAATTATTCCTTTGGCACCAGTTTTTTTTAGATGCGGAAGCATCTTATACTCGCGCCTTGTAGTGCGCCGTCCGCGCCGCCCGCACCGCTTCTCGAACATTCGACAGCCGACGCGCGCGCATGCGCCGTCGCGCCGTCGCCCACTCTTCCACCATCTGTGCATCCCTTCCTCCTCTACACACCGCGCGCGCTTCACTCCTCCACCATCTGTGCACCCTTCCTCCTCTACACACCGCGTTCGACATCTACAATTCTCCTGATTCTCCAGTGGACGCGCATGTGGCGTCGTGCTTCGAGAACATTCAACAGCTGACAGTGCATGCGCCGTGGCGCTTTATATATACTCAAGGTCGGCGCTCGCTCGCTCAGTTGCCGCTCGTCGGTTGGTTTGTACGGCGCGTCGACGTCCAAGGTCGCGGTGAAATGAATTCCAACGAATCCACAAACACAATGATCGACGTCCCTTCGACCAGCGCCGCCCTTTCGCATACGTGTGTACGTGTTCACTCATTTAACACCCCCTCCTACAACCACGTTAACCAATTTAGCCATCGACCCAAGTAAGTCGCAATTTAACACCCCATTTCACAACCACGTTAACCAATTTAGCCATCGACCCAAGTAAGTCGCACTTTAACACCCCGTTAACCAATTATATGCTCCGCATCCTCCTCAGTGTTCCCCCGAGGGAAGCTGCGGGCAATTTTTTCCAGAAAGCAGTCTCCAAAAAAAACAAAAAAAAACACTTGAACAAAGAGTATACACACGTAACTGCATGTTTATTGATCCACAACTGACTGCAGCGGTCAGATCAATTTCTTTTTATAACAGTGAAACTGTTCAGCAATTCTTTGCTTTTTTTTTTATTCCATACCAAGAAAATATTGCCACGTTCCATTTCTCAAGTTTTGTTATCGCCCCAAAACACTACACAATTCTCAGCGCAAAACGCGGGTGCAGTTTTCGAGAAGCTTCCGGACTTTAGTAGATCATTTCGATAAGATCACACCCACTCTGCGAAGTGTACAGATTATTCTGGAACCTATGCCACCGCCAGCGATAACGCTAGAACATTCGATGGCAAGAGTATAAATGCCGACGCACTTCGCCGCTTGTCAGTAGTTGATCGACGGCCGACGCTCCGTTCGCCGCTATCAGTCCAGACTGCTACTGTAATCAGACTTTCCGTTTACCGGCACAGGTTCGCCCAAACAAACAGTTAAATTCCAACACAAAGTCTCCTGTCTTCGGCCACGTCACGACCCCGTGACATCTGGTGGAGGTGCTCTTTCTTCTATGTACCGAACGCCTCCTTCAAGCCGCGACCCCGGCCCAAGCGTCAAAGAAGACACGGACGCTAAGCCTGAACAGCAAACAAGCCGCAGGCAGAGGGGACTACAACCAGAGTACAGGCCCCTTCCTGAAGCAGCCAGGCAGACTCGGATCCCGACATCAACTACTGCAACCATGACCGCCCCCGTGCAGCCTGCACCACTCCTGCTGCGGCAACCCAAAGAGCCGCCAACTTTCCGCGGTTCGCCACGGGAAGACCCGGAAAGCTGGATCGAAAGGTTCGACCGCGTCGTCGCCTTCAATGACTGGACAGACGATGACAAGCTCCGGCATGTGTATTTCGCCTTAGAAGATGCTGCTCGGACCTGGTTCGAGAATCAAGAGCGAAGCCTTACAACGTGGGACGTCTTTCGCGCCAGGTTCCTCACGACTTTCGCAAGTGTGGTGCGCAAGGAGAAGGCCGCAGCTCTTCTTGAAACCCGCATGCATATGTCAAACGAAAACGTGGCACTATTCACTGAAGATATGATTAAACTTCGTATTACATTAATATGGTCACGGGGTCGTGACGATATCATTGCAACACGGCACTTTCGTTTTCAATCCACGTGCACTGGCCCTGCACTTGGCTTCAGAACTGCACAGATGTTATTCACGATTGTGTCTACTGTACTTTCGTTCGTGACGATTGCAGTATGCAGCATTATTTTTAGCTCGGATAGCATTGGTTAAGGACTTTCGTCATTCCAATACAAAATCGCATCGATAGCAACAGTGTGTACATCCACAGAAGTTGTGACAAATGAAAAGTCAGGATTGACTCTGAGTGTTGGCATTGTGCATACTTCAAGTGTACCCTGCTGTCAGTTATTGCAGAGCATTTTAAATACCCAAGTTCATATCACTCGCAGCAACATGAAAAAGAGTTTGGAACATATGAATTTTTGCCCACTGGACACCACGAGACTCTGTTGGGGATATTTACGGACTCATAACAGGTACGATGCAGTGACCATAGAATGGTACGGTCTCGAATTCACCTAGACTTGAAGAAGGAACGACAGAAACTGATACGCAAGAATCCAATCAATGAGCTAGCCCTGAGAGGGAAAGTACAGGAATTCAGAGTGTCGCTGCAGAACAGGTACTCGGCTCTTAGTGAGGAAACCAACCTTAGCGTAGATACAATGAATGATAATCTGACGAGAATCATTACGGAGTGTGCAGTGGAAGTTGGAGGCAGGGTAGTTAGACAGAATACTGGCAAACTTCCCAGGAAACGAAGAACCTAATTAAGAAGCGTCAAAGCATAAAAGTGTCAAGTACAACAGACAAAATAGAACTGGCAGAGCTTACGAAGTTGATTAATAGACGTAAAGTATGCGATGTAAGAAGGTATAACATGGAGAGAATCGAACACGCTCTGAAAAACGGAGGAAGCGTCAAAGCAGTGAAGAGGAAACTTGGGATAGGCAAAAGTCGGATGTATGCACTAAGGGACAAAGAAGGCAAAATAACTACCAATATGGATAGGATAGTTAAAATAGCGGAGGAGTTTTACAGAGATCTGTACAGTAGCCGAGACAACCACGACCTTAGTACTATAAGAACTAGCAGTAACCCAGATGACACCCCACCAGTAATGATAGAAGAAGTCAGAAAAGCTTTGGGGAGCATGCAAAGAGGCAAAGCTGCTGGTGAGGATCAGGTAACATCAGATCTGCTGAAAGATGGAGGACAGATTGTGTTAGAAAAACTAGCCACCCTGTTTACGAGGTGTCTCCTGACGGAAAGAGTACCAGAGTCTTGGAAGAACGCTAACATCATCTTAATACATAAGAAAGATGACAAGGACTTGAAAAAATTACAGGCCGATCAGCTTGCTCTCTGTAGTATACAAGCTATTTACAAAGGTAATTGTTAACAGAGTAAAGAAAACATTAGGATTCAATCAACCAAAGGGACAAGCAGGGTTTCGAACAGGCTACTCAACAATTGACCACATCCATACTATCAATCAGGTAATAGAAAAATGCTCAGAGTATAACCAACCACTATACATAGCCTTCATAGATTACGAGGAGGCATTTGATTCAGTAGAAATATCAGCCCGTCATCAGGGGCGGCGCCAGGATGTTTTTACTGGGGGGGCAACCACGAAGAGTGAGTTCCTCCGGGGGGGCAAGCTAGCTCTGCTCCTACTAGGTTTTCAATATATGCTTCCGGGCACTTGGGTGGGCATAGTGGGGGCAGGCGAGAATTTTGGGGGGGCTCCAGCCCACCCTTGCCCCCCCCCCTGGCGCCGCCCCTGGCCGTCATGCAGACACTGTGGAATCAGGGCGTAGATGAAGCATACATAAACATTCTGGAAGAAATCTACAGGGGATCAACTGCTACCATAGTGCTTCATTAAGAAAGCAACAGAGTACCAATCAAGAAGGGTGTAAGGCAGGGGGGACAAAATTCTCCTCAATGCTATTTACCGCGTGCTTACAGGAAGTTTTCAGAAGCTAGAATGGGAACAGTTAGGGATAAGAGTTACATGGAGATACTAGCTTAGTAACCTGCGCTTCGCCTATGACATTGCATTGCTGAGTAACTCAGGAGACGAATTGCAACTCCTGTTTAAGGAATTAGACAAGGAGAGCAGAAAGGTGGGTCTTAAAATAATCTTCAGAAAACGAAAAGTAATGTACAACCACCTCGGAAAAGGAGCAGCGCTGATGACAGTACAAGCGTTGCATGAAAGTTACACTTAGCGTCAAAATTAGATACTCTATTACAATTCGGCAAGCTCCAAACTTGCTCAGAGCTGTATCCATGTCGAGGAGATTGACATAGTGCAGTAAAGTCAGCTTTGAAAATTGTTGTCAGTACTACTTTTACTTGTGGCGCAAAAAAGGGGGGAAAGGGGGAGAGTAAAGAGAAAGCGCTCGTTTTATGCCACAGCTCTATGCTTGCTGAATCTAAAGAATTTCTCACGGCAGGTGATTAGCGAGAGAACATAACCTTATCATAACATTCTCCTACAATTACAGAAGTGTCAAAGCACCCCTTTTGTCTGTACAATACAAGCCGAAAGGGATCCCTTACATGGGCTCGTTCCTGTCGAGCCAGGAGTAGGAAGACGGGTGGCCGGACCAGACGGATGGCACCGTGGTCGAGATAGCCATGGCGGAAGCGGCAGGGCCCGCTTCCACGTGCGCCGTGCTCGGCTCTGACTGTAAGAACGGCGCTAGCTTAGAACCGAACAGTCGGCAGGCGCACTGTGTTGCCACAAGCACCAAACGACACCACATGTGCTGTGTGTACTTTTTGCACAATACAGGAGAAATTTCAAAAAAAATTTCATTTTATTTGGGGCCACTTTGCTTCTAAGTCAACAATTATTCTTTTGGCACCAGTTTTTTTTTTCCAGAAAGCAGTCTCAAAAAAAAAAAAAAACACTTGAACAAAGAATATACACACGTAACTGCATGTTTATTGTTCCACAACTGACTGAAGTGGTCAGATCAATTTCTTTTTATAACAGTGCAGCAGTGCAACTGTTCAGCAATTCTTTCTGTGTTTTGTTTATTCCATACCAAGAAAATATCATTGTAGTACGGAACTATCGTTTTCAATCCACGTGCACTGGCCCTGCACTTGGCTTCAGAACTGCACAGATGTTATTGACGATTGTGTCTACTGCACTTTCGTTCGCAGCGATTGCAGTATGCAGCATTATTTTGGCTCGGATAACATTGGTTAAAGATTTTCGTCGTTCCAATACAAAATCGCATCGATAGCAACCGTGTGTACATCCACAGAGGTTGTGACAAATGACGAGTCTGGATTGACTCTGAGTGTTGGCATTGTGCATACTTCAAGTGTACCCTGCTGTCAGCTATTGCTGAGCATATTAAATACCCAAGTTCATTACACTCGCAGCAACACAAGAAGTGTTTGGAACATATGAATTTTCGCCCACTGGACACCACGAGACTCTGTTGGGGAAATTTACGGACTCATAACAGGCTGTGATACATATCAGCCAGGTTCTTATCACAGATTCTACTGTAGCAGCTGCTTTAGACCAAACGTCACGGGAACGTATGAAAGCACAGCACAACCCCATCTTCCTGACTAGCCCTGGTCAGACCTCTGGTGGCACAACGGGAATTCGGTGCACCAGAGAAAAGCGTCCGATACTGGAGGAGCCAAAAGCAGCACATCATATCTTGCAGCAACCATAGAAAAACTTTTGTGGATGGACTGCAGTGCACCCCAAACTAGAAACACTATTCGCCAAGTTTGCACGAAGCTGAGTGCAAGGTCGCTACCCGTGACAGTGAAGTGAACCTGCGTGAAAGCTATCGAAATACCACGCAATTCTGGGCTCAAGAGGGCGCGATTTAAGGGCTCACCTTCGTGGGTGCGCCGGTTTATGAAGCGGAAGGGCCTTGCGCTGAGGCGGCAGACTTCCTTATGGTAAAAACTGCCTGAAGATTTTGATAACAAGCTGGTCGAGTATCGGCGCTCCATCATCGGGCTTCTTGGACACCATTGCTACATGATGGGACACATGGGCAACGCTGACCAAATTCTGATTTGGTCCAATATGCCTTCAAACCGGACTGTGACTGGCAGGGAAGGGAAAGGGTAAGCGTGGCACCAGCGCGTGAGTGATTCTCCCCCCCCCCCCTCAAGGCGCAGAGCTGCCCTCCCGCAAGGGCTGCAGAAGATAGTGCTTTTTTTCCTTTTCTTCAACCACACATTCATTCAACTCAGCGACAGCTTTTTTTTTTTGACAGCTTTCTTTTTCTTTCTCTTTTTTTTTTTCCTCGCCCCGCCGCGGTGGTCTAGTGGCTAAGGTACTCGGCTGCTGATCCGCAGGTCGCGGGTTCAAATCCCGGCTGCGGCGGCTGCATTTTCGGCGGAAATGTCGTAGGCCCGTGTGCTCAGATTTGGGTGCACGTTAAAGAACCCCAGGTGGTCGAAATTTCCGGTGCCCTCCACTACGGCGTCTCTCATAATCATATGGTGGTTTTGGGACGCTAAACCCCACAAATCAAATCAATTTTTCTGTTCCTCTCTTTCTTCGTGCGTGGCATTGGAAGAAGGGTCTTTACATGGCAGGGACGAAAGAGGGAGAAGCGTGACACAGGCACGTCGCAGATCGGCATTTGAGAGAGTTAGAAAACATTCCACGGCAGCCTTTTCTTTCCTTCGCGTTCAGCGTTGAGGTGTCGGAGGTGCGGCCTCAGGGTTGGGCGAGGTGCTGAGAGCATTTTCCGAGCGCGGTATTGTTCGAATTAACCGTCGCACGTGCTTGCGCGTTCGAATTACCGGGCGTTTTCACCCATTAGAATACACATAGCTCTGACGGGACCTCATCGTGAGTTCGAATTAATGAGATTCGACTGTAGTAGTGAGAAACAGATGTCGCCGAACTCACGTTCGGACAAGTCTGAGTAACAGCACTTTGTGCCCTTCTGGCATTTAATTATATAAGATTATTGTCGAAATAAAAAGAATTGCCAACACAGTTCAGCTTTGTCGTGTATTTATCAAGGTAAGGGTGTGCCGCTGTACTTTGCAATTAAAAATTTTTTTTTTCACGAAACTCAAGGTTGGGGGGGAAGGGTCGACTTATATCCTGGTTCGACCTATATTCCTGTTTTTACGGTAACTGCTATAAAAAACTGCTCAAATGCATTCGTGGTACACTTTAACTGAGCGAAACTATCACCTCAGCGCACTTGACCAGCTGCCACCACCACTATTCAGAAAAAAAAAAGAAAAAGATAACTCGTGACAATGATGATTGTTTTCCTATTGGTATGGGTGAAACAAAAATGCATGTGTTAGCAGTACCAGCAACATTTTTACAAACAAACCAAGAAAATCTGAGTACTAGACCTTGCAGTAGGCAGGTTTTAGTATTTTAATGGTATTATGTGGAAGCGCCATGCTTTTTGGAGCAGATTTAGGAGCAGACAAAGTACTGCGATGAAGCAACTTTCATGGGGAGACGAGGGTCTAAGAACGACCAAAAATAGCTGAAAAATGCAAAAAAAAATTTTTTTTTCTTGCAGAACTTATTATCAGCACGTTTGTACCTTTGAGCACCAGCACCTATTCTAAAATTACTAACGCTGCATTCAGCAGGGAAATGCAATAAAATTGGCCTTCTAAGCACCCCGTCAGCAGTAAAATGCCCCAAAAACGAAACCTATTCGAACTTCACACCGCAGAGAGCCAAGCGCCGCCGCCTTGAGCTAGATTTGAAGCTATTTCTTTTGTGCATCGTTTGCGGCATCTTAAAATGCCGCTGCCCGAACAGAATGGCGGCTGTCACGGGTTTTCTAAAGGTCGCTCCCGGGTCGCTGATCGGCTCTCACACGGCGCGCATTTTGAGTGCGTCATACCGAGGCTCCCATTGGCTGACGTGGCCAGCGCGCTTTTCAAGAGCACCGTTCCACGTTTTCTATTGACTGGCCTGAAAAGCATTTTTGTGTGTGTGTGTGTATGTGTGCGTTCACCATCGTGGCTATCCGATCATGTACGTCTGCTCTTGCGCTCGTGCATGTTCTTCAAAGCACTGTGTTCGTGCTTCGCGCTAGTAGTTTATCCACACAATCGAAATGTTCAGAGACTCTTGTCTGAAACTGTCGTCACAACGAGCTTCTGGAAGCGGTAAAAAACGAGCTTAGAACAAGAAGGCGCCGGCTAGAAGTGCACTGTCGGGACGAAAGTTTGGTGGATTCGGTGCCCATCAGGCACCTTTATGTTTATGATCCGCTCCGTGTGCAGAATGATCCCGGAAGCAGCGGAAAAGAGAGGGCATGTCGCGCTCCACTTAATAAGGTGATTGAGCCAAGCGTGAAGGTGCGTCCGCTTGGTTTTGCCACGATTTTGCAAATGCGCTTGTCAGAAACGCGAAATCTATGCAGTTTCCCTGCGCACCCTGCACTGTCTTGGGACGCTACATCTGCACATGGCTGAGCGTAAGCGATGCTCAGCTCACAGGGACCTATAACACAGGGCAGCATGCTGCCTAACATCCAGGTGCTTAATCAATAATTAATGTACAGGCAGTTAATTAATGCAAATCGATTTGATAATTTACGAGGAAGCAGTGACTTTAATCTCATACCCCATGGTCCTCTCAGGACCCTCCCCCTTCAACCACTTGCTATGGTGGGGCTCAGATCTTCCTCACCGCAATGGATATTTTTTTAATAATGATTCCTTGGATGAAATAAGACATTTTTGTTTTGTTTAGCAGGGAAACAGATTAGAACATCTAAATAGAATTTATCGTTGGATTCCTTTTAGTAATTTCTGCAGTGAGTGCCAAAATTTCAAGAGCGATTTTCTCAGCTTCACATTTTTTGCCAATCTGACTAGCCTTACTGAACTCTTCGTTATATTTTTGTAAGCCAAGTTCAATAAATGTTATACTGTTGAATCCTTAAGGAATGAAACGGTGGAGCTATGCTTTTTTTTCATGGCTAAGTTGATCATACAAGGTTTTGTAAAAAATAATGTGAGCGAATCACACTTCATGTACAAAGAATTAGTACAATTGAAAAATTTTCATATGATGATGGATATCAACATCAATATAAATAGCATAGCCCCACATGCCAATCTTATGCTGCAGCTGCACCTTAAATTGAACCAAAAATAGGGAAAGTGCCTTAATCACCCGTAAGAAATGACCTAATAAGACTTCACTTATTTTCTGATAATCTGAGAACTAAATGAGGTACAATAACTAATTACACTTCTTGAAAACAGGAGAAACACATGCACACATAAAATCATTAAAATATCTCTAATAATGAAATTTCATTTTTCAGACTAGTTTCTCCCTCCTTTGTTTTTGAAGCAGGAAAAATGCTGCTTTGGAGCTGCTATTGAAGTTTTTGCAGCAGACTGCAATATATCAACTTAACAACTCCTTGACTATTTTACTGACATCAATGCAAGTTGCGAGAAATGAAGAATTGAATGAACAATCAGAAAAAACGGCCGGCGATTGAATCCACGATGCTAAGAGCAACACATTTATAATAATAATAATATTATTTGTGGTTTTACTTCCCAAAACCATGATACCATTGAGACAGGCTGTCGTGGAGGGCTCCAGAAATTTCGACAGTTTGGTGTTCTTTAAAGAAACACTAAAGGCAACTATTGAGCCGACGTTGACTGTTGAAATGGCGACCCAGAAACCTCGTAGTGCTACTTTTGTACAAAGGCAGTGCTTACATTTGAAATAAAATTACGTTTTAGTGGTCCGCATCGGGCTAGAGCACTTCAAGTTATTCATTTAAGTGGAACGTCTCACGTCACTGTTGCCATGCACAATGTTCCCCGGCTTTACTGCGTGCCCGTTGACACTAGTAGCAGCAGAACAAAAGAAGCGGGAGCCACAGCAGCAACAACGGCCATTCAACAATTTCCTGCCATTCGTTCAGAGATGGCAGACGTCATTGGTTCAACTGGGCCCCATTACATGGCCCGACCTGTCCAGTTTAATCAGGCGAAAATTCAAGTATTGAACCACTCGTGCCATTCCCCATAGTAACGTACGGCAGTTCTTTTTTCTATGAATTCAAATAGAAACAAACAAGCAGCGTTTTATTAAGTCTGTTTATGCATGGAAGGTTCTTCAGTGCAGCTAGATCGATTACTAGCGATTAATTATGAGCGGTTTGTCTGACGTCATCAGGATCATTTTGAGAATGTCCTACTGTTGCGCATGTATTCTTGTGCATTTACCTCAATTTTTTAGTAGATAAGGCACTGCTGTTGTTAATATTGTCGTTAGACTTTAGTGTTCCTTTAATACGCACTGACATCGCACACTACACGAGTTTTCACCATTTTGACTGCAGTGAAATGCGACTGCCATGGCGGGAATCGAACTCCCGACTATGTGTTGCTTAAAATACTATCCTGGTCAGTTACGCATTTCATCGACATAGCCTGCGAGTAAAACTAAAGAAGTGTAAATAAGCTAAATGCTTCATGCTGTTCTTGACGTCACAAGACACAAACGTCACAAACCCAAAGGAAGCATGTATTCAAATTTAAAACTTGCTTCATGAAATACTAAACAATACACAGTTGCATCGTCTGACATGCGGCACCCGAGTACCCAAACAACATTTTTTGAAAATTTTACTCAGATCAAAGGGCATTGAGATTGCCGGGGTGCCCTATAGCACACGTCAGCCGTACAGCACAATCGAGCAGCGGTAAGAATGCGACATGGTGTGCTATACCTTGATTGTCTGGGTGGGACGGAAGCCCGACAACACGCTGCTGTCCCCAGCGGCCGTGGACACCAGCTGCTCTCCCTTCTGGGAAGGCGCAGCATCCGCCCAGAACATGGGTGGGCTGTCGCCACTGCCGCGCTGAGTCGAACGGGGAGCCGTAGCCATGGTGGCAGCCACTTGCCCTTTGTAAACATGCACGCTGTGCGGAGCTAAAGAGCCTTCGTCTTCGGCCGATGATGTGTCCGGGCTGGAAACGCCAGCCTCCATGGGAACCTACGGAGGAACGGGAAGAAAAGTTGGGTTATACCCCTGTCACAAGGGCACCCGTGAAGACCGTTTAACTCCCTCGTCTTTACGACAACGAAGATGTGGTTGGTGTCACACGGCCACCCTAACGCAAACGAAGGTGAACGAAGCATTTCGCAAAGGACGTTCAACGATCTCCCTTCACAGCGGAACGAGGTACTCTCATCCTCAGCAGTCTAGAGGTCAGAGAAAAATTTCGAGCACTAAGTGGCCGCAGTGAAAGAATAATACATTTTAGCAATATTAAACGTTCTTTCATTGTAGTACTCATTCACAACGCGTGTTTGTTTACAATATTTACGCCCGCCAAAGTTCACTTACTCTCAACACCGATGCCCTACACACCGCGCCTCGCGAGTCGGGCCGGCCGGTGCCAGCCGATCAACGTAATTACCAGCGCAATATCGCACCACTTCCTCACGTCGTCCGCTGTGTCACTCATGGCTGAAGAACACAAAATGGGCGCTCACGAGGCAAGGAAGCATAAGAACTTTCGTACCGGGCATGTACACGGGCAACAAAACAACTAAAAGCACAATGTGGCCAGCGTCACTAGGAGCATTGCTACAATTAGCAAATGCGTTTTTATTTGAAATTATTTTTAATGGTGTGTTAGTCGCATACCTTCTTTATAGTGCTTTTTTTGTAAAAACTGCATAACGAGGATTCACAAAAAAATCAATAGGGATCAAATCAGAATACTTTTCCGAAAATCAAACAGCGCCAGCTGAGCCCCCTCGCGGCAACTGTTACAACCTTGTCATTGCCGTGTGACACTGCCACAACTCCTTCTCCGTCGAACCTCCTAGGGGAGATTTACGATGACGGTGTTCAACGGAGTTTGATGGTGGCCGTGCGACAGGAGTATTATTACAAAGAAGAAAGTGAAGAATGTCCAAAAGAAGCAAGGGCTATGGAGAAGGCGTGGTGGAGGGCTACAGATAAGTTCGGCCACGTCGGCTTTCTCAACGAGCACAGACATTGTTTCAAGTGATATTGCAGAAAAGTTGGAGAGGGTTTAAGAATATTGTGAGCGCTGACTATGTACTTCACCTGTATGACCAAACCATCGTAGTGACCATCATCGTATGTCACGCGGGCTGGCTCTCTGGCTCCTGCGTCTGGATTAAAAAGATAACCTGGTTGCTGCCGTACCGGACGTGGTCTCATAAATGGTGGAGCGTGCTTTGGTTGCCACATCCTCCTGCTCTACCCGTCACCCCTGGAGCTCCGGTCTGGTCGACGGTTGTGCCCTCAAGCAACAGCGATGGCAGAACCCAACGTGTCCGCTGCTGCAACCGCTCCTTCTCAGCCACTTAGGCTTCACTACACCGTGAGTACCTCTCATCGAGACCCTCCGGTATTTTCCGGGCTTCGCAACGAAGACGTCGAAGAATGGCTGGACAGTTATGATCGAACCAGCGTTTGCAATTATTTGGACGAGGCGCACAAACTGCGCTACGTTTCTTTTTACCTCGATGGCGTCGCCAAAACCTGGTATTACAACCACGAGAGCCAAACTGCCTGAGGATGTTCTGTAGTAGCGAAACAGAAGCTCGCAACCCGCATCCAGGGGGACGACGAATCGTATACGTCCTACATTGAAGATATTCTGGCTCTCTGTCGCCGAGCACAAAATGACATGACGGAGGCCGATCGCATCCGACATCTACTGAAAGGTATGAACTCTGTGGCCTTCAATGCTCTCGTGATCCAGAATCCTACTACCGTCCAGGACGTCATCACTACATGCCAACGCCTGGACGCGCTTCATTCCATGCGCCTTCCACACGCCTCCTGCGACGCTCGCTTTACCTAAGAGCATGAATTGCGGGCCCTTATCCGCACAATTGTCAGAGAAGAGCTTCACGGCCTTATTCCAGGCAACCCTACCATTGCGTCTGTCCACACACCTCCTCCCAACCTGCGAGAGATAATCAAGGACGAACTGGCATCAATGACAAGCGCTGCACATGCCCCGTCTCCTGTGCGCTTCCCAGTGCCTTCGTACGCAGAAGTTGCATCGCGGGCCCCTGCACCAGTTCCAACCGTGCCTGCGGACGTCGGATGCGACCATGTGGCTGCGATGACAAAGCAAGCACCAAGGCCATGCCACTATTCTACATGGCGTCCTCCGCGCCCCATCTGCTTCTACTGTGGCATAAGGGGTCATATATCCCGTTTCTGCCGCCGCCGTCAGCAGGATGAACGACGTGGTTACTCAGCTTACGAGAGAGACTTTGCCCCGAGACCCGATGAATACGATCCCGCACCGTATCCATCCACCCCTGTCAGTCGCCCTCCCCTCCAAGGTCTCATGCTGGGCCTCATCCTTCTCGTTCATCTCGCCGCCGTTCTCCGTCACCGTTTTGGCGTACGTCATCACCCCTGCGTCCCGCTCCGATCTCTCTGGACTCGGAAAACTGGAAGGTGCAGTTTTTGGAGGGGAAATTGCTTGTTGTCGAAACGTCGCAACTACTCCGTCTCGTCCAGCTAATTTACTGCCTGTTTGTGTGGAAGGTGTTTTTATTGACGCCCTTATAGACACTGGAGCCGCAATTTCGGTAATTGATCGTGAATTGTGTTTTCGCCTGCGTAAAGTGCAAACTCCTTATGCCGGTCCCATGTTATATGGCGCTAATGACAGTCCAATTCGCCCGACCGGGTTGTGCACTGTTCGTGTTCTCATCGATGGAATCCGTCATCACATACAATTGGCTGTGCTGTCTTCGTGCGCTCATCAGATAATCTTAGGCTGGGACTTCTTGTCAGCGGCGTCTGCCGTAATTTCGTGTGGTCAGCCCCTCATTCGTATTACGGACACTGAGCTTTTTTGTGCTGCCGACCTTTCGTCGCCCAACCTAGTGACAGCTGCGGATTTCCTCCTGCCTCCCGGACAAGAACGTGTCCTTACGATCAAGTCACGAGACATTCTAGATGGTGACGCTGTGGTTGTTCCTTGCCAGCGCTGCATTTTTCGAGAAATCACCATCGCATCTTCTTTAGTGCGGTTCTCCCGTGGTTATGCAAGCATCACGGCCTGCAACACGACGCCAGAACCACTTCTTTTGCCAGAGGGGACCACTGTTACCAGCATTACCGAAGAAGCACCGTTTTGTGTCGTCACTGGTTCATCTGCTTCGTTATTCTCAAAGTGTATGCCAGCGGAAGATGCATTTCCTGCTCTCAAGGCCACTTTGTGTGAACATCTCAACCCAATGCAAACTTATGCCTTGCTAGCGTTATTAATGAAGCACAAAACTTGCTTTGACGTTTGTTCCGAAGGTCTGGGTCAAACAACAGTGGCCGCCCATCGTATCGACACCGACGGATCCCGTGGGATTCGCCGCCGCCCTTACCGTGTGTCGGCTTCTGAACGCAAGCTTATAGAAGAACAAGTCAACGACATGCTGGCGCGCAACGTCATCAGGCCTTCGACAAGCGCATGGTCTTCTACTGTCGTACTAGTGAAAAAAAAGGATGGCTCGGTACAGTTTTGCATTGATTACAGATCACTCAACAAAATCACTTGTAAGGACGTCTACCCAATGCCTCGCATTGACGACGCTCTTGATACTTTACAAGGTGCCGAGTACTTTTCAAGTCTCGACTTGCGCTCCGGTTATTGGCAGATTCCAATGCCCGAGTCTGATAAAAAGAAGACTGCGTTTGCTACGCCAGATGGGCTCTTTGAATTCAATGTGATGCCTTGCGGCCTGTGCAATGCCCCAGCCACATTCGAACGGATGATAGACACGGTACTGCGGGGATTAAAATGGAATACCTGCCTTTGCTACCTGGACGACATTGTCATCTTTTCGTCCAGCTTCTCACAGCACCTGGAACGGCTAGACGAAGTCCTCACGTGTTTAGCTAAGGCCGGTCTCCAGCTCAACACTAAGAAGTGTCGGTTTGCCAGCCACAGCATCAAGGTATTAGGTCACGTCGTCAGTAAACATGGCGTTGAGCCCGATCCCGACAAAGTTGCCGCGGTACTGCACTTTCCTACACCAACTACACAGAAAGACCTCCGCAGCTTCCTTGCCTTAGCGTCGTATTTCCGCCGCTTTGTACGTAATTTCGCTACTATTGCGGCTCCTCTGCACAAACTTCTGACCACGAGCGCCCCCTTTGTCTGGTCGGATGACTGCGAAGCCGCTTTTCACACCCTCAAGCGATGCCTCACATCACGGCCAGTGCTTCGCCATTTCGACCCTGCAGCACCTACTATGCTACACACTGACGCAAGTGGACTTGGCATCGGTGCTGCCCTTCTTCAGCGGAACCACGCTTCCGAAGAACAAGTCGTGGCCTACGCGAGCCGTACTCTGTCACCTGCTGAGCGAAACTACAGCATCACTGAGCAAGAATGTCTCGACATCGTGTGGTCCACACAAAAGTTTCGTCCTTACTTATACGGCCGGCATTTCACAATAGTGACTGACCATCATGCTTTGTGTTGGTTATCGTCTCTCAAAAATTTGTTGGGACACCTTGGCCGTTGGGTACTACGATTGCAAGAGTATGACTACAGCGTCACATATAGGTCTGGCCGAGAGCACCAAGATGCCGACGCTTTGTCCCGTTGCCCGCTCTCGCAAAGCGCCGAAGTGTCACCTTCCATCTGTTCGTCACCGCCCGCCAAAGTGACCAAACAGATGGCTGCTGCTTCGAAACAGTTAGTTGCGTCGGCGGACCTTCTTTCGTCCACAGATCTCGCCTCGCTCCAACATGCCGATACCTACTGCCGCACAATCATCGATCGGCTCACTGGCTTATCGCGTGCTCCAGACAGCCGCCTAAGACGACAACTTGCCCGTTTCAAGCTTCAAGAGGGAAGATTATGTCGGCAAATTTACCATCCTCTCGGTAACCAATGGGTTCCCGTCATTCCTCGCTCACTTCGTCTGGAAGTTCTACAAGCGTTTCATGACGATGCGACAGCTGGCCACTTAGGGTTCCACAAG